AGAGTCAGATGCTTAACTGACTGAGCCACCCAGGTGTCCCCTACTCTTTTATGTCTGTTTTTCTATTCTGTATTTCATTTTTTCCACCGTAGTCTTGATTATCTACATTCTTCTTCTGACTTTGGGTTTAGTTTTCTCTTCTAGTTTATGTTCTTAATATTTATTGTTTTTAACTTTAATTCCAGTAGAGTTAACAGAACATACAGTGTTATAGCAGTTTCAGGTGTGCAATATCGTGATTTGACAATTCAGTACGTTACTCAGTGCTCATCATGATAGGTGTGCTCTTAATCCCCTTCACCTGTTTCTCCCAGCCCCCCCATTCCCATTCTAGTTTCTAAAGGTGGAAAGTTAGGTTTCTGATTTGGGACTTTTTTCTCTTTTTAAAAATATAGTATTTATAGCTATGAATTTCCCTCTAAGCACTACTTTAGCTGCATCAAATAAATCATGGTATGTGGTTTGTTTTATTCATCTCAAAATGTGTTCTATTCTTCTTTTTGATTTCTTCTTTGACTTTTTGGTAATTTAGGAATGTATTGTTTCATTTGCACATGTTGGTGATAGTTTAAAATGTCCTTCTTTTACCAGTTTCTTTTTTTTTTTAATGTTTGTTTATTTTTGAGAGAGAGAGAGAGCAAGCGAGCACACAAGCACGCAAGCAGAGAAGAGGAAGAGAGAGAGGGAGACACGGAATCTGAAGCAGATTCCAGGCTCTGAGCTCTGAGCACAGAGCCTGACGTGGGGCTCGAACTCATGAACTGTGAGATCATGACCTGAGCCAAAGTCAGACACTTAACTGACTGAACCACCCAGGCACCCACTTCTTTTACTGATTTCTAATTTACTTCCATTATAATCAGAGAAAATACTTGGTATGAATTCCATCCTTCTAACTTATTGAAACTTGTTTTATAGCCTAAAATATGGTCTGTCCCAGAGAATATTCTACATGCACCTGAAAAGAACGTGTACTTTGAGTTGTTGGATGGAGTGTCGTATAGATGTCTGTTAGGTCTAGGCAGTTGGTTAATAATGCTGTTCAATTCTCCTATTGCCTTTTCTCTTCTGCAGAGTTTTCCTATACATTGTTGAATATGGGGTATTGAAGTTTCCAACTGTTGTTTTTTAAACTTTGTGTTTTTCCTGCCCAATCTGCCAGTTTTTGTTTCATGTGTTTTCGGGACTCTGTTGTTGGTGCATATATGCTTACAATTGCTTTGAGTTCCTGACAGATTTAACTTAAAAAATAATTATAAATATGTCCTTCTTCATGTCTACTAAATATTTTTTGTCTTAATGTCTATTTTGTCTGACATTATTTTTATAGCTGCTCTAGCTCTCTTTTGGTTTCTGTTTATATGGCATATATTTTCCATACTTATATTGTACATATTTGTGTCTTTTTTTTTTCCTTTGTAGAATTCTTGGCATCCTCCCATCTATTCTGACCATAGAGGTTTAGAAACTAGAGTTCAGTGAAATTGAGCGTCTTGCCCAATGCCAGTATCTCTTTAGGTCAAGGTCGGATAAGTCTTTCTCAACCATATTTCCCAATATGTGTCTTTGAATCTAAGGTGTGTCTCTTGTATATATCATTCAATTGGAGTTCATTTTAAAAATCCATTTTGCCAGTCTCTGCCTTGTGATTAGAGTGTTCAATACATTTACATTTAATGTAGTTACAGATAAGATAGGGTTTATGTCTGCTATTTCATGGTCAGTTTTCTATGTTGTATGTCTTTGTTCTTCTGTCTGTCCTTCTATCTGACTGCTCTCTTTTACATTAAATAAATGTTTTCTTCCATACCATTTTATTTTTTCTTCTATGCCACTTTATTACATTTTTATTTTTATTATTTTTGAATTATTTTTAGTTTGTTATCAATATTATTTTAGTATTAATAATGTAATATTTATTATATCTAATTCTTGATTGACAGTGTTTTTCTTTCAGTGTTCTGAAGATGTCATACCACTCACTGTCTTTTGGCTTCCATAGTTTCTGATGAGGAATTTTATTAAAGATCCCCTTTATAGGATGGATTCTTGTCTTCTGCTGATTTCAAGATTTTCTCTTGGTCTTTGTCTATTAGCATCTTGGTTGTGACATGTCCAGGTTTGGATCTTTTGTAATTTCTCCTTTTTGGAGTTTGTTGAGCTCCTTGGATATGTAATGTTTTTCATCAAATTTTTAAGTTTTCATCCAATATATTTTCAAGACTTCTTTGTGTAGCTTTCTCTTTCACTATCTCCTCCCATTATGCCAACTTCCATTATGCACATTTTGGTATGACTGATGGTGTTTCAAAGGTGTCTGAAGCTCTGTTCATTTTTCTTCGTTTGTTATCATTTTGTTCCACAGAGTAGATGATTTTAATTGACCTTTTAAAATTTTTTTTAAATGTTTATATATTTTTGAGATATAGAGACAGAGACAGAGTGTGAGAGAGGGAGGGGGAGAGAGAGAAGGAGACACAGAATCCAAAGCAGGCTCCAGGCTCTGGGCTCTCAGCACAGAGCCTGTTGCGGGGCTCAAACTCAAAAACTGTGAGATCATGACCTGAGCTGAAGTTGGATGCTCAACCAACTGAGCCATCCAGGTGCCCCTTAATTGATCTATCTTTAAGTTGGTGGATTATTTCTTCTGTCAGATCACATATTCTGTTGAGCCCCTTGAATGATGTTTTCATTTTAGTTACATATTTTTCTGCTCTAGAATTTCTACTTGATTCTTTTCAATAGTTTCTGTCTTTATCGATATTCTTTATCATGAAACATTGCTTTCTTACTTTCCTTTAGACTTTTTAGACATGGTTTTTCAGTTCTTAGAGCATACTTATAATAGCTGATTTAAAGGGTTTTTTTTCCCCTAGTAAGTCCAATATCTAGGCTTCCTCTGGTACAACTTCTATTGCTTTTTCCCCAGTGTTTAGGTCATAGTTTTCTGTTTCTTTGCATATCTTATAATTTCTTTTGTTAAAAATTTCATATTTAAGATAATATAATGTAGCAATGTTGGAAAGCAGATTCTCCCAGGGACTGGTTTTTGTTGTTGTTTTTGTTATTCTAGGGGTGGCTTTCCTGAACTAATTGTGTGCAGTATCCATGTCCTGTATGGGCACTGATGCCTCTGTTAGCTTAGTGTCATTACATGATTGGGCATAGATTTCCTTAACTGCTTTGAACCAAGAAATTTCCCAGGCTTTGTTGAGAAGCTGTGTGTGTGTGTGTGTGTGTGTGTGTGTGTGTGTGTGTTGGGGTAAGACTTTAAGGCTTGGAAGACAGGTTGCAACTCTATATTAGCTATCACTTCCTGTTTGCAGACAGCTTCAGATCAGCCAGAGGTGGGAGGTTAGCATATTGACAGGTCTTTCCTGGGCACACACACATCTCTGCATATGCACAAGGTCTTGATTTCCAAGTATTACCACCGTTTCAAGGTCCCCAGCGGACATCTTGTGCCCTAGTTTTTTTCTATTATCTTTTTTTTGGTAAGCCTCTTGTTTTACCCAACTCTTATCCCTGCTCTAGGCAAACACAGTGTTAAAGGCCACTAATTGTTCTGACAAACATCCTAGAAAACTTTTCACCGTGATTGAGCTCAGAGGTGAATAAAGAGACTTGCCAGTGGGGATTTCCAGGGACCTGCCAGACAAATCAGAAACAATGCTCTGGGAATGTTTTGTTTTTGTTTTTGTTTTTGTTTTTTGTTTTGCTTTGTTTTGATTTTTGGGCAACTCCAATCTCAGTTTTCCTCTGCTTGTGGTTGTTAGGCTGGTGTTTTTTTTACAGGTAGTGTGGTCGCAAGGTTATTTCATTTAAAGGTTACTGTGGAGATGGGACAAGGGGGATGGGCACCGGGCAAATGATAACCACAAAACTCGCTGTTCTTACTAAGGTTTAGCCATGGTTTCTTGCATAAGTGTTCCCTGGATTGTCACAAGTCTTTGATTAATTCCCAGAGGTAAGAAATGTTAATTCTGACAACTTTTCCCAGTGTTCTCATTTATTTTATGGAGGAATCGATTTTTAGAGAGCCTCATTCTTCTATTCCAGAAGCAGTCTCTTCAGCGTCCTCTAAAATCCTCTAAATTTTCTGAAGGGACAGGAAGATCTCAAACTTTGGCAACAAAACTTTATAACTAAATTTGAATTTCACAGTCTAGAACATTCAGTGTCCCCATATTGCTTTTCAGTCTATGTAAAATCTTTTCAGTCTATTTATTTCCTCTAGTAATCTTCTAGGTGATGCAAGTCTAAAAGACCTCAGGGTGCACGTATCCCTTCTAATCAGATTTTTGTATCCTTTGGGTAAATACCCAGTAGTCCAATTGCTGGATGATAGGGTAGTTGTATTTTTAGCTTTTTGAAGAACCTCCTTACTGTTTTCCAGAGTGGGAGCACCAGTTTGCATTCCCACCAACAGCGTAAGGGGGCTCCCCTTTCTTCATATCCTCACCAACACCTGTTGTTTCCTGGGCTATTAATTTCGGCCATTCTGACTGGTGTGATGTGATAACTCACTGTAATTTTGATTTTGATTTCCCTGATGATGAGTGATGTTGAGCATCTTTTCATGTGTCTGTTGGCCAGCTGGATGTCTTCTTTGGAAAAAAAAATGTCTACACACGTCTTCTGCCCATTTCTTAAAAACCGGATCGTTTGTTTTTTTGGGTGCTGAGTTCTTTAGATGTTTTGGATACTAACCCTTAATCAAATACGTCCTTTGTAAACATCTCCCATTCTGACGGTTGCCTCTTAGTTTTGTTGATTGTTCCCTTTGCAGTGCAGAAGCTTTTTATCTTGATGAGGTCCCAATAGTCCATTTTTGTTTTTATTTCCCTTGCCTCCCGAGGCACCTCTGGTAAGAAGTTGCTATGGCTGATGGCAAAGAGGTTACAGCCTGTGTTCTCCCCTAGGATTTGGATGGTTTCCCTGCAGATCCTTAACAGAAGCTGTTTTCTCCTGACTGACCAGCCAGAAACAAAATTACTCACTTATCTCACTGCATTCTACAGGACGCATTGCTGCTTCAATCCACTTGACAGTCACGTATGCACAGATCACTTCCACGATCGTGGTGAAGAGTACATATTGTAAAAGCATACTACCAGCTATCTGAATTAGAAAGAAAAGAAACATTCCTCATATTAATTAGCCATTTAAAAATTATACAAGAACAACACTTCACAAGCAGGGAATAAAGATCATTCATCCTATCAGTCTCTCACAACTATGAGGATTTTTGTGTAGTTTTCCTAAGAACAAAATATGTTTTCAATTAATCAAGGACTCTTATACGCACCTTGCATTATGTCAAGTCCTACTTCTAGTAATGACTGTACAAGTTGGATACTTTTATTTCTCTTCTGCATGTGACCAGACTGGAAAGCAGAGAGATTACCTTAGTACCGTGGGCTGGGTGAAATTCTCCAGGGTTTGGCACTGAGTGCCCATCTTTTCTCTCTTCATAATTTCTCTTTTGGTAAGACTCATTGCATGCTTTGTGTTTCGTGCTTTTCCATTTAATGCACATATAATTTGCATGTTCTATTTTCTCTTAACCTATGTACCATAAACATTATTACATGTAGTGGGTGGAACCATTCTCTCTCTCTTTCCACATTTCCACCACGGCCCATAGTAGGACTTTCTGCTCTAGGAGTGGCTTCTAGTGTTTCTTAACGCTCCTCATTTACAATTCCCCATTTGAGAAGCAGAGATTTATCTAACTCATGATTTCACAAGAAGGAGCCCAGCCCCTTCTGGGTTGTTTCCCTTTTTTTTTTTCAGAATCGTTTTGTCTTTATGACCCCAAGTTCTCCTCAACCTCTGATACCTGCCTGGTCCCAGCACAAGGAGACCTGTCGTCTATCTGTATCTAGGTAGATAAGTTTAATTCATGGAGAGAGGTTGCAGCAAGTTCATTTGGTCAAAGATTTAAAACGTGTTCTCCAACTATAATAATCATCATAAAGCTGATAGTTTTTATTTACGTCTGCTTGATTGTCGTATTTTATCTCAGTTGGTTCAGAATGTGAGAGAAGAAAAGTGGATGGCTATTTACTGGCCTGCTATACTAGTGTCCCAGGGGCCCTGTAATAAAGTATCACAGCTGGGTGGCTTAACACAACTGAAATTTATTGTCTCACCGTTCTGGAGGGTCAAAGTCCAAAAAGCATGTATTGGCAACAGAATGCTCATTCCAAAGTCTTTAGGAGAGGATTCTTCCTTACCTCTTTCAGCTTCTGGTAGCCCCAGAAGGGTTCCTTGGCTTGTATCAATATAACTACAACCTCTGCCTTCATGTATACATGGCCATCTTCTTTCCATGTCTGTGTCCAAATTTCTTTCTTCTTATAAAGACACGAGTTCTATTGGATTAATGGCCCACTCTATTTGCGTATGACCTCATCTCAACTAATTACATCCGCAAGACTTTGTTCTCAACGTCACATTCTGAGGTACTGTGGGTTAGGACACATCTTTTTGGGGGACACATTTCAACCCATAATAGTTTGTCTCTGCTCTGCCTGTCCCTCCCATGTACCAAATCTATTTGCCTGATCCCAATATCTCCAAAAGTTTTGACCCATTTTAACATCAACTCCAAGTCCAAAATCTGACCTAAATATCATTAGATCAGAAAGCCTCAAATCCTATCATCTAAATTATCTAAATCATCTAAATCAGTTATGGATGAGACTCCTAGAATGGTCCATATTGGGGTAAAATTCCTCTCCATCTGTGGACCTGTGCAATCAGAAAACCAGTTATCTAAGACATAATGGTGGGACAGGCATAGGATAGATATTGCCATTCCAAAAGGGAGATATAAGAAAGAAAATAGGGCTGGGGCGCCTGGGTGGCTCAGTTGCTTAGGCATCTGACTTTGGCTCAGGTCATGATCTCGCAGTTTGTGAGTTCAAGCCCCGTGTTGGGCTCTGTGCTGACAGCTTGGAGTCTGGAACCTGCTTCGGATTCTGTGTCTCCTCCTCTCTCTGCCCCTCCCATGCTCATGCTCTGTCTCTCTCTGTCTCTCAATAATAAATAAATGTTAAAACATTTTTAAAAAAGGAGGAAAATGGGGTAATGGGCCCCAAGCAAGCCCAAAACCCAATAGGGCAACTCTTTAGATGTCGAGGCTTGAGAATAATCCTGTGTGGCTCCATGCTCGGTCCACAGGGCCTGCTGAGGAGGTGGCCCTGCTTCTTCAGCTCACCGTGGTGGTGGCCCCACCCCTGCAGCCTACTGGTTGGTGGGGAGTCCCACTCCTTGGGTTATTGCTGTCTCAGCCTGTAGCATATCAAAGACGTAAATATTTGTGACGTGAAATGTGTTTCTTTTCCCCCATTCTTGGTCTTCTCACTTGCTTTTGTAACAGATGTACTAATTCCATACTTTATGCCACTTTCCAATGGCTTTTAGGCTTGTTCATTCATTTCTTTCCTTTATTTCTTTTTCATTGCTCATTCATGAAATTTTATTTCTTTTTCATTGCTCATTCATTGAATCTGTGATTTCTTTTTACACACTGCCAAGTAGAGCCCATTACTATTTTCTTGGAAATGGAGAGCTTATTGATTGAATATTATTTTATTAAACTTCACTTTTTCCATATTGACTGGTAAAGTGATCTCCCATAAAATAATGTTTTTGCCTATATTAGGATTGATTTCTCAACTCTCTGTTCTTTGATTAATTTTTCTTTTTGTGTGTAAATACTATACCATTTTTATTATACTGCATCATCTCTTGATGTAACAAGTTGCCTGGCCCTCCCCAATCATTATGTGGCTTCTAGAATTTCTTGGCCCTTTTCACACAATCTTTTCTTCCATCCATACACATTTTGGAGCAGTTTTATTTCATTCTCCCCAAAACATTTTTGGGATTCTAAATGGAATCACCTCACATCTATGTATTAATTTATGGAATCTTGTAATTCTATGACATTGTGAATTTGCATTCAAGAATGTAGTTTCTCGGGGCACCTGGGTGACTCAGTCGGTTACGTGTCTGACTTTGGCTCGGGTCATGATCTCACAGTTTGTGAGTTCCAGCCCCATGTCTGGCTCTGTGCTGACAGCTCAGAGCCTGAAGTCTGCTTTGGATTCTATGTCTCCCTCTCTCTGCCCCTCCTTCACTCATGCTCTGTCTCTCTCTCAAAAGTTAATAAATGTTAAAATAAAAAAGAATGTAGTTTCTCAAAGTATTCAGTTCTTATATTACAGCCATCATGTTTTTAATATTTTTGTTGTTATTTTGATTGGGTTATTCATTTTTTCTACTTCAATATTTAAGTGGTAATTTCTAGTGTAAAGACAATGTATTGTCTACATTTTTCTTTACTAAATCATTTTTTTTTAGTTGAGTCTTTGGGGTTTTCTAGGGATCCTATCATTTTATCTTCACATAATGACAATTTTGATCTCTCTCTCTTAAGTTTCTAGTGTTTCCTTAGTTGGACTGAAATTGATTTGTTAATATTCCCATGGCAAAAATTTGGAGGAGATACAGTTTGTTTTTATATTTCTACGCCAAAGCATCAAATTTGGTTGTCATTTCCATACTTTACCATTGCAACACACATCATTTACTATAGTTTTTCCATTTATATGTACAATTTTAATCCAGTTGTTATTAAACTTGGTACTTACATGTGACCACAGGTATTCATTGGTGTCTGGATAATACGTTAAACTTGCAATACTTAATATCATTATACCAAGTACAGAAAAACAGGCACTTAGGATGTTCATAACCATGCTAGCAATAAGCTGTAACAGACATACAAAGAAAACTGGTCATGTGCAGCATAAACAGGTTTTGATGAAGCAATCAGTCAGTCTGCTGTCCTTCCTAGAACATTCAAGTTGGAAATTTTTTATCTGACTCTCTGGAATCTTACTGTGGTTGATATCAAGACTCTGCCTCAAATTTGTCTGGAACCCAGCAGGATAAAAAAAATTTTTTTTTCAGAGGAAGTATTTATTTAGTCGACAAATTATTAAACAGGGCCTGCAACATGCTGAACACTGTGTTAGGGATAAACACAGTGTTCTACCTGAAAGTCTTACAAACTAATGGGGGAGGCAAAATTACAAACACTATATTTCATTTGACAAAATTTCATAAACATCATGCTATGAATAAGCCTCAGGTCCAGGATTTGCCAGTGTCATTCGTACCCCAGTAAGGTCACCTTACTACTACTTACTGCCTTTCCATAGTTCCCAGCTTCCCTCAAGAAGCTCTCTTTTTTTAAAATTTTTAAAAAAGTTTATTTATTTTTGAGAGAGAGAGAGAGAGAGAGAGCATGAGCAGGGGAGGAGCAGAGAGAGAGACACACACACACACAGAATCCAAAGCAGGTTCCAGGCTCTAAGCTGTCAGCCCAGCGTGCAATGTGGGGCTCAAACTCACGAACCATGAGATCATGTCCTGGGCTGAAGTCACTGCTTAACCGACTGAGCCACCAGGCGCCCCGGTATCTGCTCTCTTTTGAATGGCACTCTGATCCTGCATGACCTGTGAAGAGAAACTCTGCCCCTTTGAGAAGGGACTCCATGGATTTTTTTTTTTTTAATGTGTAAGGGATTGTTACATTTTAAAGAGGATTTTTTTTTTTTAAATAATGGGAAGAAGGAAGTGATTTGATACTGATCAACCAAAGAAAGAACTTAAGTGGGCATATTAAATTTTGATTGTTCAGCAGGCAACCGCCCTTTCATTTTGGGAGCTCTCACTTGTTAAGTCTTTATGAAAGAAGTTTATCAAACTTTGCTATGACTTCAATCTGTAGGAGGCAGAGCCAGGGCATTGCCAATGCAGTCCTCTTCCCAAGGATTGTGAATCTTGAGCAAGTAACTTAAAGATGAACAGAAGACTGGAATTCATACCTAGAATGGGCAGCTCAGATGTTATACGGTGGGGATGGTGGGGCACTTGGGTGCTAGAGAGAAGCTGTGATCTCTAGTGATGGTAACAACCTGGCCAGATTCTCCTTGCTAAAAGATAGCTTGCACTTCTGGGTTTTCTGTTTCTGGCTTCTGGAACTTTCTCAGATCCTATGTTTTCTTTCTTTCTTTCTTTCTTTCTTTCTTTCTTTCTTTCTTTTTCTTTTAGTGTTTATTTTATTTTTGAGAGAGAGAGAACAAGCAGGGGAGGGGCAGAGAGAGGGGGGACAGAGGATCTGAAACACGTTCCAGGCTCTGCACTGACAGTGGAGAGCCTGATGAGGGGCTTGAACCCATGAACCATAAGATCATGACCTGAGCCGAAGTCAGACACTCAACTGAGACACTCAGGTGCCCCTCAGATCCTGTGTATTTTCTAAGTTTGGTTCTTCACTTCCCAGATGCTAGGACCCTGGCTTCTTCCCAGTAGAGCCTGTCTTTCCTTGCTATAGCCAGGTTTCAGTTCACAGTGGTGGACAAATTGAGTGGTGGACAAAATTGAGAAAATGTCTTACGGAAGAGAGAAGGTGTATACAAAATTTCAGACGTGTGGGAAAGAAGGTCTTCAGGAAAATGAATCGTTGGGTGTGGCTGGAATGTGGGGCATGAAGGGAAGTTGGATACAATGTGGGTGAAGTGGGCAGGGCTGGATTATGAGGAATCTGGCAGGCTGTGCTAAGGATTCCAATTCATCTTTTTGAAATGTAGAGCTATACTCAGGGCGTGTCAGCTAGAAAGACCTTTCCTTAGTACAAAGCCAGGTTGTGGTATGCTCCAGAAAATGCACACTTATAATGCTTCTGCACACTTACCCTGTGTCCACGTATGAGGTCAGAAAGGCTTATGAGCCAGGATCACCTATAGAGAGATATTTATGTTCCAGGGGCGCCTGGGTGGCTCCGTCGGTTAAGCGCCCAACTCTTGATTTCAGCTCAGGTCATGATCTCATGGTTCGTGAGTTCGAGCCCCACAGCACAGATGCCTGCTTGGGATTCTCTCTCTTTCTCCCTCTCTCTCTACCCCTCCCCTGCTCGGGCTATCTCTGTCTCTTTGAAAATAAATAAATTTAATTGAAAAATTAAATATTTATGTTCCCCCAGATCCTGATCAAACATTTGATTTAAATATACAACATTATTATTTTTGAAGCATTCCGCTTCCAGCATGAGAGTGTGAGGAACTCCATGGACCAACTCCTCAGCCAAATTTGTGAAAATTACTAAGAACCCCAACAATTAAAATCTCTGGAGTCCTAAGGGCCTACAACAAATGCCGAAACGGTCAGTCAAGAAAATCTACTAGGGGCGCCTGGGTGGCTCTGTTGGTTAAGCATCCGACTCTTGGTTTCAGCTCAGGTCCCGATCTCACGCTTTCACGAGCTCGAGCCCTGCATCAGGCTCTGCGCTGACAGTGCAGAATCTGCTTGGGATTCTCTTTCTCTCCCTCTCTTTCTGCCCCTTCTCCACTCACACGGTCTCTGTCTCTCTCAAATAAATAAATAAACTTGAAAACATTTTTAAAACACCTACTACAAGTCAAAAAACTGTAGGAGTCTGCGGTATCTGAACCAAGAGCCACGCCCACTCACCCCCTTCCGGGTTCCACAAGAACACTCTGGGTTGGTGCAGGTCCCTTCTCCCCCTACCCTTTTCCCAGAGTGCTAGCTAGAGCTCTCTCCCCCCCCCCCCCCCCCCCCACCCCCAGCAGCAGATCATCTGCTTAACATTTCTAATCATGCTCCCAGCTACTTGCTACTGAGGCTAAGTCCGAGTGCAGTCAAGAGAGGTGGACTCTCTCCTTTTGCCCCTACTTGTGGGATGAGGGCCTTCTCTTGGTGGCAGTGCCAGTGGGTACCAGGTCCCGATCACTCTTGCCTTCACTTACGGGGTAGGGGCTCCACATCATGAGAGGCAAGCTGTGCCCCTCCAGCAAGCCCTCAGTTCTTACAGTGGGGGTGTCACTCAGAGAGAAGCCCTCCATTGTCCCTCTGCAACGCCCCCCCCCCCCCCATCCTAGGAGCAGAGCTTTGGCTCAGAGATTTTGCCTGGGGGAGAAGTGGGTCACAGAATAGAGAACAGCATCCTAGGGCAACTGTGGATATACCTAAAGCTGCACTCACCCCTGAGGAGCAATTTAACACAGAGAGGGAGAAACAGACTGCAGGAAATTATTTCAGCCAGCCCTTAAAACAAAACAAAACAAAACAAAACAAAACAAAACAAAACAAAACACATCAAATAACAATCATAAGCCCTTGGGCTGGGAACTCTGAGTTCTGAGTGCCCAGAGTTGCTACAATGTATTTGCCCAGTTTCCGGAGCATCTGTGGCTCAGTCAGTTGTGTCTGGCTCCTGATTTCGGTTCAGGTCATGATTTTAACGGTTTGTGAGATTGAGCCGTGTATGGGGTTCTGTGCTGACAGCATGGAGCCTGCTTGGGATTCTCCTTCTCTCTCTCTCTGTCCCTCCCTGGTGCTGAAAGGGCGGGCCTACGCCGGCCGACTCCATCTTGTTCTGTGTCCTTCACCTAGACCATGCCTCCTCCCCTTGAGTAACCTCCCGCTCACCCATTCAAACTTCCTGATCAAAACACGCCCAGCGACCTGCGTAACAGGACTCCAACCCTTCCCCAGCCAATCGGCTGAGGCCACAGCCGTTACCTCACCAACTGCCCCTAGACCCCAATAAAACCTTTGTGCTTTTGAAACTCGCTCTCTCTCCCTGGTATCTCACCGCTGCGTCGGTGCAGGTAGGGGACTGAGCTCGAGCTAGCTCGAATAAAGGCTCTTTTGCTTTTGCATCGGACTCGGCTCCCTAGTGGTCTTTGGGGATCACGAATTCTGGGCATAACAGTGCATGCTCTCTCTCAAAATAAATAAATAAACATAAAAAAAATAAAATGCGCAGTTTCCAACAACAAGAAATTTATGAGACAGGCAAAGAAACAGAAGTGTCTATACACCTGTGCACTTTGACCTACACATCAGAAAAAAAGAAAAAAAAGCAGGTAACAGAAACTGTCTGTGAGAGTGGCCAGATGTACTTCATTAGCCAAAGACTTCAAAATAGCCATAAAGACGGCCAGAGAACTAAAGTAAATGATTAAGCAAGTAAAGCAAGATTTGCTGATGACATTGACTATGGACGATTATATGGCAACAAATTATACAACCTACATGAAATGGACAAATTCCTTGCAATGTACAAACTATTGAAACGGACTCAAGAAGAAACAGAAAATCCGAACAAAGCTGTAACAAATCTGAAATAATAATAAAAACCTTCCATGAAGAAAAAGCCAGTTCCAGATGACTTCAATGGTGACTTCTACCAAATATTTAAAGAATTAATACCATTGCTTCACAAACTCTTCCATAAATAGAATAGGAGGGGACACTTCCTAACTCGCTCTAGGAGGCCAGTATTACCCTGATACCATAACCAGACCAAGCCATCACAATAACAAAACTATAAACCAATATCTCTTATGAACGTGAATGCAAAAAAAAACCCCTAAGCCAGCAACATATAAAAAGCATTATATACACCATGAGCAAATGGGATTCATTCCATGAATGCAAGGTCAGTTTAATTTCCAAAAATCAATGTAATACATCAGACCAATAAGATGAAAAACAGCCGTATGACTATCTCAATAGATGCAGAAAAAGCATTTGACAAAAAGCCAAGACCCTTTCGTGATTAAAACACTTACGAAACTAGAGTAGTTGGCATGTTCCTTAATGTGGTAAGGGTATTTAGGAAAAACCCATAGCGAACTTACTTACTGGTTTGCTTACTTCCTGCACACTCACTGGATGC